ACATGTGAATGGGAGCACAGGGGCAGGAGCAGAGGGTGGGAGGGGCTGCTGCTTACTCCACTGACTTCAACCCAGCCGGGCAGGGAAGGCTGAGGGGCAGGGGGCATGTGGAAGAAAGGCAAGTAATTTGCATTAAAATGGGAGTCCCCTTCCCAGGCGAGCAGCAATGACCTCAGTGGATGTTAAACAGGGGTCTGGTTACTTCAACAAAAGTGAAGCTCTCCATTTGTCCTTTTCTTCTAATACTAGGATTCTTCCCATAACCTTAGATGATAATGCAATGAGAAAAGGTGAGCCGAGTGGTATAGGCATGTGGGCAAGTACCTGAGGGAGAAAACATGGGGATAAAGGATCCCCATTCCCTCTGAAATCATGGGCTCCTTGAGGGCTAAGTCAGCCTCTTGAATGCAACTGAACATACATTTGTGTGCTTTATTGTTTAAAGGTTGGGAGCTGGGCTGAAAACACATTCATTACTCCCTGTCATAGAGCAGTTGATGCATTCTAGGCACATACAATTAGGCTATAATTCTGTACAATGACAGACTAAACATACAAGTCTAGACAGAGAAAGGAGACGACTGAAAATATTCTTAGACCTTTGCTAAGGGCATTTTAGCATTTTCTTATCAGTCTACTGGCAAATATTGTAAAACTCTGCTTCATTAAGGTCAAAGGGAGTAAAAGATTCGCATGACTTAAATTCAAGGGACTCTTTAAATTCTCCATCAAAAACCAGTCTTGAGGCCAGATATTATTAGCAGTCACTCAGCAAAAATCTGAGGATGCTCAGTTGTGGTTCGTTTACCTTCTGGAGAAAAGGCATGAGTTCCTAAACAGAACCACCCATATACACATTACAAAAATCAATCACATTATATGAAGGTTTTTGTGATTTAGGAGTTATAAAACTAGTGACAAAATGTAAATATGCCACATTCTTACTATTTATTCAGTTAGCTAAGAAAATAAACCACAGAAATTTTGATTTCTTAAAACTGGCAGTCTATAGTCACTTGTTATTGGAGAGTGTAGACAAAAGAATTGAGTAATAGAATGGAGTGGAAGAGGTTGCTCACTGAAGGGGAGCAGAATACATGACCTCAAAATACGTCACTTTTGCATGTGGATTTTTTTTAACTGAAGGCAAGACCCAGCAGACTCAAGAAAAACTTTTACTTTGCCCTTTCCTACCTAGAAGGATTTAATTAGGGGGCCTAGCTCATAGAAAGAGCTATCACTAAAGATAACTTTTACCTGAATGACCTACCTGTATGGCCAAGCAAACATCTAATCATCAAATATCTGCTTCTCTTATTGTCTTGTGAATTACCCTCCTTCCCTTTGAAGCTCCAGACCCTTATTCTATTCCTTAGCTCAGAGTGGCACATAACCCTCAACTGCCCAACTTGCCACTGGATCTCATTGTCTTTGTGAAGTTAATCTGTATTATGTTAATCTGTATTAATTCTCTTGTTAATCTGTATTATGTCAATTTAATTAATAGACCAGCTAAAATAGAACTTATAAGCATAGAGGAAAATTTTTCCTCCCCTACACTGATTATCACCAATAGTAAGAAAGCAGACTAGAACCCTCACCCACATCAGCATCCTCACATGGGTACCAACAGGACCATTTTGCAAATGGTCTGTAACCCTGCCCTAAGGTTCTGCTATGCCAGCGCCTTAATGCATTGCTTCCTTTCTGCTCTCATACCCAAAGGACCTTCCTAAACTCAGTCATAGAATGTTGCTACCCCTTACATATAATCAGCAGTTCTTTCTGATAATGCTGAAAGCATTTGTTTCTCTGAGAACATCTTTAACACAAATTTTAATGTCATTACAAAAAGGAAGCCAGCCAATATCTAACGCCAGTATTTCCCATCGATAATAATAATCACCAAATATACAAGTCAAATAGATTTTCAACAAGGGAGACAATTTTAACACTAGCTTATGTTTATTATTTTGCCATGTAACAAGCACTGTTTTAAGATCTTTACACGTATTAATGCATTTGATCCTCAGGAAAATTCTATGAGGTAAAAACGATTGTCCCTTTTTTACAAATAATAAAACTGAGGCATAAAATGATTAAGTAACTTGTCCAAGATTCTATAGCAAATAAGTGTTAGAGCTAGGATCCAGAATCTATACTCTTAATCATTATGCTATGTTGCTAGGGAGGATTTGATTTCTCAAAAAATTTTTAATTATTTTAATTGGAAGAAGTGGCACAATAATGAGAAAAAAGACAATTAAAATTAACTTTCCTTCTCCTGTCCCTTGTACTAGAAATGATTTGTATTTGTTGTTTCGAAATGATGTCTAACACAGATAATCATGGTGTACTTCCTATAACCCTTAGGAGATATCCTCCTCTATCGGTATATGAAGGAAGATCTAAAGTTCAATTAGAGAAAGATGCAAATAGAAATGGAGAATGAAGCATGGTAAGCGTAGCTCTATTCTTATGGTGGGACATAAAAATGATTCTCATCCAACATGATTAAGGTATAAAAAACATGCTATAATATATAAATAACAATTTTAGGATAGTACGTGAATTTATCAATATAAGGAAACAAGACTGTTGCTCTATTTTGAAAAGACTCAATTGTTGAACCTTCACTTGAGCGAAAGCCTGAGACATGTTCACGAAAGAGTACCTAACCCTTTCTCTCAAGAAAGCTGGTCTTGCTTCAGTCCAGCTTAGATGTGGCCAGAAATGTTACATCAGGGCAAATCAGCAGAGAACTGCTCTGGGCACAAAGCAGATATTTGTTGAAGGATTTTCAAGGAAGGTAATGCTGCAATAGGTTTGAGAGTGTTAGATGGTCCTAGATGACTGACCATTCATTCCAACAACTGTAGTATGTCAGAGATGGATGGAGCTTATTGATCCCAGGACTCACATTCTGGAGAACTAGAGGACCCACAACCTCATATTACATGACTCCCACCTCGTGCAGAGAAGGCATCGTATTCCAGGTTCCTGCTCAAAGAGTATTTTGTTCAAGATGACTAAACCTTTCGGAGTGGTTTGAGACCTGCAATCCTGAAGAAACAGGCAAAATGAACCTCAAAACCATGTTTAAATACCTGTACAGGGGGTAAACTAGTACAAGGAAACAAATTTAGTTGTGCTGCCTGTACAAGCTGTTGGCTGCATCAAGGCTACCACCAGTCTTTCATAAGCGCACACTAGACACAGAATCTAGCTCAGCACTGACTGATACGACTAGGTAGGTAACCAATCTTTACTGTAGGTGACAGCAGGAAAAGGAGGGAGATTAGGGTGCATTAAGCCAAAGTGCTGGGTTTTTTTTTGGTGGGGTGGTGGGGAGGGGAACCTGACCTTCCTAGTCCACTAAAGTAATACAGGGTACTTGGTCCAAAAATAGTTAATTCTTGAGCAATTCTTGCAGCCTTTCATTCTGCAATACACATCTGTCACTCTATAATGTTAATCCAAGTACGAATGAACACAATGGAAATCACAGGCCTCACTTAGAAAAAAAGCGGTCTTATAAACAGTAGTAGTAAAAAAGCCAGAACAACCTATAGAGAAAGAATAAAAGCTTGAATTTTACATTTTGAAACATACTTGTAGGAAAAGGGTACTTCCCTTATTTTTCTTTCTGTGAGATGATTTCAAAAGTCGAGAAGATATATAAGGCATAAAAACACAACACAGTAACAATCATATACTGTACCTTTACTTTACCAAATCATGTGTTGTCTGATAGTGTCTGGATCATTCTCTTTTTTTTTCTCAGTGCAAAGATACTTAAGAGCTGATTTTTCACATGACTTTGCAGCAGGTTTAACTTTTAATGAGCCAATTCTTGCTATGTTTTTCTTAACACATTTACTCAATTCCATGCTTGAAAGCTACAAATCCTTTGATAACTAGAATGTGTGAGATTTTACTCTAATATCAAACTCAAAGAGAACCGAGACAGTCTCATGGGTATACTGCTGTAGGCAAGTATGATTCATGAAGGCAACGGCATTCTATAAGTGGCTTCAAATTTCAGTATGTACCAGGTTAACTGAATATGATGTGATCAGTCAAAAAAAAAGCCTGAACCTCATTCCTGATTTTATATCGATGACAATAAAATCAGCAATCACACAACAAAATCATATAGATGGAAAAGTTTTCTTTACTCTTTCACATAAAATTTAAGTAATATTCAAGAATAAAATGCAATGCATTATCTATGATGGATTAATGACAAAGCTTTAGAGAAATATGTCCTAGGTTTGGAGTATTTATGGGCCAGCAACTCTGTTCATAATCCTAAATGTGACCAACGGGGAGAAATATGGGTCACCACTCACAAGAGGAAGACAAGATGGGTGAGTCTGACTACATTCCCAGTCTTAGAAGTCAAGGTACAGCCCCACTGAGGTAGCTAGTTAATGGTAGCATCTTCACGTATGACAAATTTTTGCATCCTTACCTTTAATTTTACTGTAGAATTCTTTTTCATCTCTGAAAGAAAAGCTATTTTAACAGCAGTCTGGAATTTAAAATTTTTTTTGCCCACACTAAGAAAAGTGGGTGATACTACCACAATGAAATGATGATGTATATTTCATTTTGAAATGCAGATATTTCCTTTTGTGGGTGAAGAAGGGAGGTTGTGGGATTCTGGAGGCATCCAATTTGTATTCATAACTTCGTTTGAGTAAAATTAACATTTAAATAGTTGGCAATCCCTTCAGGTCCTAGAATAGTGAAAAAATTTACCCCAGAACTTAAAACCTTCTAAGAATCCACAAAATATATAACCCACATAGCAATAACTTAGAGTTGACTTTCTCAAAACATGGCTCTGTCTAACCTAGTAGATAATAACAAACACAAAGAATCCTTTAGCAAAAAGAGAAAGTCTTTTTTGATTCCCAGGCAAAGCTTTCTTGCCAATGGCCTGTTTCCTCATCCTTTCAAATTCTAGGTTAACAAATATCGAACCAAAGCCTCACCTGGGACCTCAGGAGAGAATCTTGCCGAGTGTCGGGATACAAAAAGTTTCAGTTCTTGGTCTAAGTTGCATTCAATCAGGTTTGTGTCCCATGATCGGATTCCTAAGGAGGGAAAAGAAGACAGGTGACAACTTTCAGTTAGTCATTTCAGAATGGTTTGGAAAACAACACTGTAACACCTCTCAGGCTTTAAGGGAGGGTGTGGAAACTTCTTTTCTGAAGAGCTTGGTGATAAGCGGTGGATGCCCACAAGATGGGAGGGCTAGGGAGGTCTCTCCACCAGGCCACAAGGGAGGGATAACCAGCAGCGTGGACTGAACTTCTGCCCCTCATAAAAACATAAATGCTACTTTTCGGAGAGAGAAAAGAAAACAGTTATTAGGAAAATAACAGGCTGTACTCCAGGGAGGGAATAGAAAGGACAGGAAGATGGTGAGTTCTGTAGCAGTTAAGAGGCCACCAGACAATCTCTGGCTTTTCCAGGATCCACTTGTAAGTGGCAAGAGAATGTAGGATGAAAGTAGGGAGAGAGATATGGGGGCTGACATTTAAGTCCAAGCCTTTGTTTTTAAAATGATGTTTTTTCAGTGTGCATAAACATTGTGTGTACACATATAGTTTCTTTTCTTTACTCATCTCATTTTTGACCTTGGTTTTTCAATCCCTAGATATCAATGCAAAATTTGTTATCTTATATAAAAAGGCTGGATCTCAGCCTTCAAGACTTGGCCTGTCTGTCCTCCCAGGCTTTTATTTTACCTGAATAGCTTGGCAAGCAGCTCTTTCATTCACGATTGTTAGCTGCGTCGAATTTTTTTTATCCAAAGGCAAAGAAATGTGGCAACATTTTATACTTTATAAACTTTCTAAAAAATTGGGGGCCATGAACTGTCTATTCTCACAGAAGTTCAAGTTTCCATTCACTAGGCTAGAAGCTGGGGTGAGGAACACTGAGACAAGGAATACCAATGCCCTACCTCCCTAGTCTCTTCCTTTCTCCTCCCTCTGCCCCTCCTCAATCCTGCCCTCCCAAACGGGATATCTAGAGGGGCACTCAGAAGACATCAAAGAAGGGAGATCTGGGGAGCAAGCCAGGGAAAACTGGGGAACCACGGAACTCTGGAGTATATTTTTATATTTTCCCCAAAAGACAGCTCATGGTGGAGCCAGTATGTAGCGTCTATGACTGTACCCATGCATGGAGCATCCTTCATTGCCAGGAACAAACCTCTGAACAACAATTATTTATTGCATACCTAGCAAGGCAGAGACATGAAGATCTAGGTATAACAGAGTAGGTGAACTATCTCTAAGTAAACACCCATTCGTTTAATCATTTTTGCTGGTTGTTAGTCGTGCATACAGACTTGAGAGTATAAATGACAATGTGTTATTTAAAAACACCTCTAAATCGTTAATGCATATCTGCATTTACTCCCATTTATATCCTGTAACGTCTTCCTACCTTGCAAAGAATCAAGGTAGGTAGATAGATAGATAGATAGATAGATAGACAGATTCATACATACATACATAGATGTGTGTGCCTGTACACACACACACATTACAAAAAGATTCTAGAATCTCAGCTGACTGCACACATTAAAATATCTTCGGATTATACACCAAATATCTTTTCTACTATGGAGAATATTTTCCAATAGATGTATGTCCAATAAATAGAGGTAAAAGTATCTCATACAATCCGTGAGAAGAATTCAGGTGTGAAAGAGTTAACATTCCTAAAGAGGCTAAATTATGAGGGAGAATTTTATGGGTCTCCCTGGAAACATTAACAGCCTCAGTTTGCATTTGCGCTAATGGAACATTTAAATTTTAACAAGAAAGGCATGTTGAGATTTTGTGGATCTTTTTAGTGCCGAAATGATAAATGGGTTTTTGTTTCACAGAAAGCTTGACAGGTTGAGAGGTCTGAATTCATTAGAATATTTTACTTCAACCTATATGAACACTATATACTCATCTAGTATGAAAAATCGTCGCGCTCCTGTCTGAGCTGCTTCATTAGTAATTGTTGACTGGATTCTCTGTGCTCCAGGTCTGAGCTCTACTTTGTCTTCTGGCTTGTCAAGTTGGGTCAATAAGTTAATAATGAGACATTTGTATTTAAATTAAATTCATACAATTTTTCTGCCTTTGTTCTAAGTTATGTCCAAACTGCTACATCATTTGAATGACTTCATCTAGGGTTATACACAGACTTGCTCTTACATTGTTGTTTGCCATTTTCCCCTTGGCTTCAATTAACTTGTCATGACACATGCAATTAAATGCTTACTTTACACTTCATAAACTCTTGGTTGTATGATTTATAATTGAGCAATGGAAAAAGTAAGAAATAGTAGATAAAAACACTTAGTAATTTTTAAAATACCCTAGTAAAAAGCTGATAAAATATTTCTCATTTTTACACACCCAATGAAACTAAAACTTTAACGTTCTCTTTTCAAGGGAGCAATTTCTAGCCAAATTATTTCTTAACAATGTATAATCAGTACTACCACTTATAAAATAAGGGTTACAATGGATTTACTAGTTATTTTAGTTTGAAAGGAAATTTTTGGAAGCAGGCCACTTTCTATACCAATTTTATAAATAAAATACTTTGTAATTATTTTGTGTCTTCTACTGGATAATATTAGTAAAGGGAAACAGTATTTCTCAATGAAAGATCATACTGCATTTAGTAGGTTTATGTATCTCCCCTTTGTGTCTAAGAGGAAGCCATTGGTGGGCCCTCTAAAGCTCATAAGACAAAAAAAAAGATTTTCTATAGCCCTTCCTACATTCTCTTAATTCATGGCTGGAGAGAATAGTTGGGTGTTGGCTTTGAGAAAACAGGTTACTCTGAAGAGGCTTTCAGAAGCGGGTCATCTCATTCCCTGATGGGTTGTAGAGAACCCATGATACATCCTGGCCCCTTTTTTGATTATGCCCCCAGTAAATGCCAGGTCAAGCTCTTTCCCGAGACTTTGCTTTTCCAGCACTCTATGAAGACTGTGCCCCTTACTGGCTTAACTAGTTGGGGGCAAAACAGGACAACTCCACCATTTGGAGATCAATCTCTACTTTTTAAATTTCTGTGCCCAGATGGCATCTGTCACCCCTGGGAAATTGGCCCATGGACAGGCATCCTGAGAACTCTCTCCCCTATTCTGAGGCTGTGCCCTAACCCTGGAAGGGAGTGCCATTACTCTGTCAGCCAGTTCTCCAGCCTCTGTGACCAGGGGGTAACAAAGGATCTTCCCATCTCACTTCACTGTCCTTAAGGCATAGTAGTGTACCAAAGGGAGGTTAAAGTGCACATGAAGTTTAAAGATGGAAAAAAGAAAAAGGTTGTGTATATGTGTGTGTGTGATTTATAATGATTTATTTAGTGGTTATTACAGAAGAAGTCAGAGTGAGCAATGAGGAGCCAGGTTCACTTACTTTATACAGGTTAGATCTGGCCAAGTTTAACAGTGATGGAAACATTTTGCAGATTATTTAATGAAACCAACAATTTTAAAAAAGCACCTCTCATTTAAAGGCTAAAATCTATATTCTTAAAAGAGACAGGAAATTGAAGAAAGCAGAACAAAATTACCACGCATTGCACGTTGAAATAGCACATGTATTCTATCTGATAGTTATTTGGGCCTTTGACAGGTTGATATTCCTCTATGAGCTTCAGTTGCTCTCTCTATGAAAAATAGGCTTTTGAATATTTTTTGCAAGTATCTAAATGATTAACCTAAAACCATAAGATTCTATTTGTAAAACTATGCTAAAAGTGATCTAAAGTCATATTAGAATCATAAACTAAAGAGAGTTAAAACAAAGAAAATGCTAAATTCAAGGTTTTATTTCTCAAATAAATTTTCCTATTTTTTCCCTTGACTTAACCTTTAATTTGCTTTCTTCTTTTTTCAAGCCAACAACTTGAGGTTCATAATATACAAGTTATTTGTAATGCAAACAATATCTTACATACAGAGCTCATCATTTCAAAACACTGGTGATAATCTAGGTCTCAGTATCTCACATTAAAAACAAACAAAAGAAGTGATTTATAATAATATATTTATTGGTCTAAAAATTAGAACTTATTTGAACAGTAAGCTTTTAGAGAAGATTAACAATAAATCATCAATTTAATGACCTTACATTTGGGGACTGGCTTATACTTCAGCATGGGTCATAGAACCCCTAGTAGATAATACCAATTAAATAGTGCAAGAAGAAATTTATCTGCCTTTGACTTTGAAAAGTATAAAGACGAAAATAATAAATACTCTCTAAAATTTCTTTTAATCCCCACCATGTGTTGATTTTTTACTGCTAAAATAAAGTAAAAACCAAACCCTAAACTTTCCTGAGTTCTTAATTCTCTTAAACATCTTAGACTAAAAATATTCAATAAAGTGACAACAGAAAGTTACAATGTAATCAGCTAAACCTACACCTAAAAACTCAGGGCAGTAGAGGTTTTAGCCTTTAATATAGATTTTAGCCTTTAACATATGCCTATCTCTTTATGAATAATCTTGCTGATTCCCAATGTTAACTAGAGGAAAATTATGCTCTTTGATAGTAATTGAAAGCATCAAACTGGAGCTTAATATTCCTTTAAAACAATAAAATGAAGCAATGAAACTATCACAAGCCTCTAGAATTCAATTTGCAAGGCATGGATATATGTAGCCCTAAAACAAATTGGAGGAGTGGGGGCTTTGCTAAAAATGGGATGGCTGTTAGGTCCATATTGTCTAATTAGGAAAGAGGCAGAGGAGGTGCCAAGGAGTGGTAGCTGGTGGTAATGACAATGGTTTGGCATAAAATCCTGCAAACTAACTAAAGAAAGCTAGTCTGAGGAAAGACTATTGTTTCAAACTTGAGAAGAAATGACCAAACCCTACATTACGCTTTTTGAATACAGCTGAGAAATGTCTCTTTTCCTTATTTTCAAGAAGCATTTACTAAGTATCCATATTGGGATGTTTCAGGCCTATTGATTTACTGCATTACTACCATCTTTCTACAGGTTGATTCTCTAGGCTTCAATAATCAGATGGCAAAAATCCAAGTCACCAGGGTCACCAAACCCACAGAGCATCAGTTAAGTTGGGAGGGCAAATAGGTAGCGAGAGTAACAGATGCTGAACTGCTTTCCCAGCCTGCAACACACAATCAGAGCCAAACCCCCTGGAGCATCTCCATCTTGCTTCACAGAACGCAGCCCACAGGCACCAGCAAGCAACAGCAGTGGTATCACAGTGACCTCTGGAGGAGGCCCAGCTGGGACGTGACGGCTGAGGCAGTAGCGTGTCAGGCAAAAAGGCAACAGCCAGGCTGTCCTGTTGCTAAGTCATCTCAGACTGTCCAAAAAGCTATGGGAGCACGTAGCACTGGAAGGCCCTGCAGCTAGAGCTGCATCCGAGACCCCAGGACTCTGGAGAGCAATCTCCAGAGGAAAAGCAGCATCTGTTACTGTGCATAAGGAAACAGCTCTGCTCACTGACTTGGCTGATTTTTAATGGGCTCAATATAGCCATTTCGGAGTTTCAGGCAAAAACCTGACCAAATTAGGAATTCAGGAAGACATGGTGATTGCAAAGGGAACATGAGGGGCTTCTAAGTTTCTAGTAATGTCTGGTTCTTGATTTGGGTGACACGGGTATGTTCATTTTGTGAAAATCCACTGAGCTCCTCATCTATGATTTGTGCCTTTCCTCTATATACTACTTCAATAAAATCTTTTAAAACTAAAAAAAGTCAGGAAGAGAAATCTGAACTTTATCACTAAGTGCTAATAGTGGAAAAAAGAATACAGAGGGTGTTTCACAGCAGTACTTAGATGTGTCTTAGATTTTATCTTCGAACAAAAGAGGCTTGAATAAACAACCCCCTGAGGAACGGGATACTGAAAGGATGATCAGCAAAGTAATAAGCGGGAAGGTAATTATGCTCAGAAGGTGATTTCTGAGCCACCTCCCTGCATGGGGTGCAGCCCACAAGTGGATGACTATACAAAGGCAAGGTCTGAAAACTGCTGTGTTTGATCTCCCTCTAGTATTAGCCTGCCCTGCACTATCGTGATGGAGCCGGAAAGCCAGAGATGCTACAGAGGTGGCCCTTCTGACACTTACGTGGTATGACCTTGAGCCAGTCGCCTTATTCTTTCTGCCTCTCTGGGGCCTCATCTCTAAAATGGGGGTGATGGTTCCTTTCCTGGCACAACATCGGGTGGTTATAAACATTTCATAGATAGAAAAGCACCTCCTAATGTATTATTATTCCCTGGCAATGGTGCTGCCAAAAATTTTTTTTTAAAAAATCCAAAGTCATTGATTCATATAGTAGCCACACCCAAAGTAAGTACGTGTGAAATTTTCCGAGAAAATGTTCAAATGAACTGAATTAGAACAGATCAGATTAAAAGCCTATAGTTTGAAAATAAGGGTTATTGTAATGTCTATAAGGCATTTCATTACTGAAATCTCTTATTCTTGAATTCTTTTCGAATAAAATAACACGTCTTAATTCTGCTCACTTTTTCTTTTTCTGGTTTGTTTTTTTTTGTTTTTTTTTGTTTTTTTAGCTGAAAGGAAAAATCAGTGCTTTAAAGTTAAACAAAGAAGCAGGTCTGCAACTCCAGTCCCCACCCTTTGCAGCCTTTTGTTCTGGGGACAAGCGGTCGTTTCCAAAGGCAGAGGAAGATGACTGACAAGCATTTCTTTTTTTTTTGTTTTTTCTAAAATAAGATATTTCATTTGTCTTTTATTGGGTGGGGGGTGGGAGCGGGGAACGAGGGCTGCGTGAACGCCCTTTGTCCGCCTCCGGCTGCCGTAGAGACCGCAGTGCGGACTGCACCACGCCCACCCACCGGTGTCTCCAGGCAGAAACGCTTCAGCACCACCCAAGAGAATACAGCGCGGGTTGGGGCTGCGGAGGGGCCTGGCGACCTCGGTCAAGAGCGAGGAGAGGTCTGGGACGCCGGGGTAAAAGGGAAAGGCAAAGACCACAGCTGCCCACCCGGGGACTTCGAGCGCAACAAAGCTGGGCTGAGGAAGAGGTGGGGGCACGCAGTAAACCCAAACCCGAGGTCCACAGGGGCTGCGCCCTGTGGGGGCGCCGCAGTGCAGGGGCAGGTGGAAGTACTGCGGCAGCCCCAGTGGGACTGGGGCGCGGGTCGGTCCGCGTGCCCGAGGCGGCGCCCGCGGGACCCTCGGGCCCCGCCCAGGGTTCTCTGCGAACCGCTATTCTGCCTCTGCAGAGCGCGCTCCTAAAGCGCGCACCGGGAGAGGCGCTGGCCCTGCCTGCCGCCCCTCCCTTCCCTCCCCTCGCCCAAGCCATCACTCCCGAGGCCGAGACTTTTAGAAGAAGCCCCACCCCGCAACTTGGGATCCCATTGTCCTTCCTCAAAGCCACAACCAAGGTCCTAGGGGCGATAGCAAGGCTGGTGCGTCCAGGAACGAAGTGCGGGCGGTTCTCCATCTCTGCGTCCCGCGGCGGCGGGGGGGCGGGGGGGTGGCGGGCGTGGCCCTAGGACTAGCCTAGTCATTCCAGGGAAAGAAAAGATCGGAAGGTTTTAAGCCAGAAAAGGCATTTCTCGGGAGCTGAGGTGCTGTGGTGAGAGTGATACCCACGCGGGCCCTGGCACATGGTGCTTCAGCCTCGGATCTACCGGCGAGATGGCGGGGGAGGGGGGAGTCTACCAGCATTTTGTGGAGATGAGAAGAGGGCTGAAAGGAGTGGTAGCTTCAGGTCCTCCCCCCGCCCCCCGCCCGACTTTTGCTCCCTGCAGTTGCGGCTTTATTATGGCCTCTGCTCCTCTGACACCTGCATTTCATTTAGCGGGAGAGGCGGTGGCCAGCTCGGATCTGCAGACCCAGCCTGATGACAGATCCCTCAAGGTTAGGAGAGACTCGCCCACTGGGTCTCAAATTAGATTCGCATTACTCTGAAATTAGCTTAGAAAAGAGTCCGGACTGGGTGCGGGAGGTGGTGGGGAGAGGTGGGTGCGGGGCGCGCCCGAAGAAGAGGGTGGCGGTCGCGCCCTGGGTGGGGTCGCGTTTGTGCGTCTCCCCTAGCGCGTTCCCTGGGGGCACAGGGCCTCTTACCGAGCTCGATGTTGCCTATGGCGCGTCGCAGGTGCTCCTCGGTCACTATCTCACCGACGACCACCAGCAGATAAAACTTGCTGTCGAGGAAGCGATGTGAGAGGCTGGGCGAGGTGGACGCCGCCGGGTTGGCAGTGCTGCCGGACAGCTCAGGCTCCGCGGCTTCCACCACCACGGTCGCCATCCTGCCGGTCCGCTCTGCCTCGGCGAAGTGTCCTGCTCCGGCCGCTCCTCTTCTCTGCGGCAGGAGAAAGGATTATCTCCGAAGGTGCTGTCTCCGCTCCGCCCCCTGCGTCCCCCCTCCTCCTGGCGCTGCGCGCCGCCTCCCCCTCCGCCCTCTCCTAGGGCGCGCAGCGGAGAGGAGTGGGGAGTGCGAGCGGGCGGGGAGGCGGCGCCGCTTTTATATGGAGACTAGGCATGGAGCCGGGGAGGAGGAGGAAGAGGAGGAGGGAAAGGACCACCCGGCACATCCTCACGCGGTGGCTGCCTCCACTCTTCCAGCCGTTGGCCCAGGGCTGATGTCATCTGCAGCAAATCATCTCGCTCGCGGCCCGGAAGCTGGAGGGACGAGGTGTGCGGACAATGGTCAGGGCAGGGCTGCGAGTCAAGGGTTTGGGGAACCCTAAGGGCCCAGCTATAGCTGTGGAAAGGGGAAAACACTCCAGCCTACATCCCCCACACACCCAGCTGCCGGCTCCAAACCCTCACCCTGTTCGTATAGGAGAACAGGATAGTTTCCATTTTCAATGTGGGGATATTTACCTTGTTCGAGGTGCACAAGTCAGTCCTCTGCCTTGTGTCCTGTCTTCGAAGAAGCCAGGATCTCAGGAGCTATGATAGCATAGCAGTCCTGGTGCCCACAGTACCCTCCCGGGAAGTTGTAACCTGTCTTTCCTTTGGCCTTGTGGATTTAGGAAGACATACAATATTTACCAACATTTGCCAGCTTCGCTTAAAGAATACATCAGAAATGCAAAACCTAAACCTTTATTGCTCAGGTTTTGGAACCTACTCTGCAAGTCCCAGTGATGAAAATGTACTGGCTTTGTGGTGCTCATAGGAAATGAGAGGAATACAGATATGTTAGCCTACATAAAATTTTCTTAATATGCTGAACAGATAGTATCAGGCATAACAAAGAGTAAAGAGACGATACTATCTCTACCCAGCAAGATTACAGTGACTGTAATTTACTTTTCAGTTCCTTGGGGACACACGAGCAAAATTATTTCATGTGACAGCGATGTCTTTTAAAATATATAAAGTATGGGAATTTTTATTGCCTTTGTCTATGTTTAGAAAAACTCATAAAAATGTTGTTTAAAGGCAGCCCATCTACAACTATTTCTCACATACTGAATATAGCTTCTGTTCCAGGAAAGGGGTTGTGGTGGTAAGAAAGGAACAAAATGTGCAAACCTGGTACCATCATAAAAGACTGGAGGATTAGAGGCTTAGGAAAGAGGAATGGATGGAAATTAGAGTAGTCAATATAGTTTTAATACTAGAATGCATATTAGTTTAAAAAAAAATCACATAGATATATTAAAATTTCCAAAATAACCTGTTATCTTAGTTGTTAACTGCCATAATTTATTGGTGATAGAGTTTTTACTCTTAGCTCTTTACCAAGACCCTGGCATGGGCAGCATAGTGGGCAGTTAGCCAGAGGTTGGGGCCCCATCCTATAAGCCAGTTCGATCAATGGGAAATAAAGATATTGTCTTGCCTGCAGCACTTTGGGGTCTGTGATAAGCTCACTGTTGAGCTGCATTTACCAGTGAAGAGTAACAGAATTTCTAAGTGAGGTGGTAACAGAGTATATTTTGGTCAAGAGACTGGCATTCGGTTGCTGCTAGAGAAGTGAGGCCGGCACCAAAGCCCATTATTGGGGGAGAAGTTGGTGAAGAGCACTATTATTTTTCAAATGTCAGCCATTGGAGCCCAATGTCATTTAGTGATTCTCCATTTCTCTGAACCGCCATTTTATTTATGTAATAGTTTTCTTTAGCTGTATTTCTTTTACTTAATTTTATTTTTAAGTGACATTTTCATTATTATATAAACGGAAACACTAATATCACTTATAAGGTATCTCTAAGAATAAACAATGAAAATAAGATAATGTGATTAAATTTCTGCTCTATACTGTTTAATAGACTCTGACCCTGAAATGTACTCTAGATTAAAAATAGAAATTAGCAAATGTTTCGTGTTAAAGACATACTAGCACCTAACTGAGTTGTTCTCCATGTCATAACAGAAGATTGGATGAGAATAACAGCAGGAGAACTTTCTTACTGTGTGACTCAGTGCAAATGAATGAATTCCATGACCACGAACCACCTAAGTCATCAAGCACTCTTTGACAAACAGATATTATGGGAGAACACAGATTGGAGATGCTGATTGCTGTCGTATAGCTTTCTAACTTTGGGTAAGTGACTTACTCATTTTGATCTTCAATCTCTTAACCTATATACTGGGAAGAATAATATATCTTTATAACTGTGTGAGTAACTATGTAAGAGAAGAGTAAATGATATAACGTGTCAATACCTAATACGGGGATTGGAATATAGTAAGTAAAGCAGATCAATAAATAGATCTGTTTGTCTCATTTTCTTGGACAATGGATTAAAAGCATCCTTACAAAATGTGCAGATGACATCAAGTTGGGCTCAACTACCAACACCTCTGAAACAAGAGTAGAATATTAAGTGATACTACAGACTAGAAAAGTAGGCCCCCAACCCCCATCTCAAGAATAAAGATATAGTTCTAAGGATCAGGAAAGGGAAACATATAAGAGTGTCTGTGTTACCTGCTGCCACTTGACATTACCTGGATTTCCCAAAGGCACCTCAAAATCAACATGCTCCAGAACAAATCATCTTTGCCCTCCAAACCTGATCTTCTCACTTTTCTTATTTCAGTGAACAGTATCACCATCTATTCTATGATGCAAGCCAAAAATGTCTTAAGCATCTTAGACTCCTCCCTGACCTTTAACTCTATGTGCAATTCAGCATGAAGTCTGATCAATTTACCTCCTAAGTATCTCTTCAATCCATTCACTTCTCTCTACTATCACCACCCTAGTCCAAGCTACCATCATCGTGAGCAATAGTAGTATACAGGTTAAAAATTGGGTTCCGAAATCAGACTGCCTGGTTTTGATTTCCAGCACCATAATTTATTAGCTGTGTGACTTGGGCAAGATCCTTAATCCCTCTATGCCTTGGTTTCCTCATTTGTATAGTGGAGATGAATACCCACCTCACCTACAGAGCGACAGTTTAAGTTTGTAAAGTGCTTAGAACAGTGCCTTCCTTGTGTGTAATAAGCACTCAATAGGAGTTGGTTGTTTTTGTTATTGTTATCATTTAATATTTTACTGTGGAAAATTTCAAACATATATAAAATTAAATAGTATAAGAAACCTCTATGTACCCATTATCCCCAGTCAAACGATTTTTATAGTTTGCTTATTTAAAGCGAAATCTAAGTGAGGTCCGTTTATTTCAGTTGATTGATATGTCTTAAATGTTTTTTAATCCATGGCTTCCCATTCTTTTTTTTTCTTTTTTCTTTTTTTTTGCTTGTAATTTTTTATTGAATAGCAGAAACATTTGTTCTGCAGAGTTTCACAAAGTCTGAATTTTGCTGATTGCATCCCTGTTATGTTATTTAACATATTCTTTACTGAATTTTCTGTATAATAATAGTTAGATCTAAAGCTTTGATCAGATGCAGGTTTGATTTTGTGTGTGTGTGAGTATTCTTCTTAGGCGATATTGTGTTCTTCCATCAGGAGACGTATAAAGATGGATTGACCTTGTTCAGAGATCTTAGCAGCCATTGGTGATCATTACCCAGATTTATTATTTCATTATGGGTTGGGAAATGATAATTTTCTAATTTTGTTCTTTCTTTATCTGAAACCTGGAATACTTCTGTTGGAGAAATATCACCTGTCACTTAGTTAGCCTGAGGTATTGTTTTGTAGAAAAAGAAGGATAAGTACATGATTCTTTTTTTTATTTATTAATTTTTAAAATAATGAATTCATTCTATAACATCTTCCAAAAGTGATTAAAATTTTTTTGTATCATTAAGTATATAACTTAAAGTCATTATTCCTGTTAATATTTTAACTTTCCCATCTTTGACCAGTGGTATAAGATGTTCCCAGCTCACCTTGTACATATCTGACCTCAGAACCTGGAATTAGCCATTTCTGTAACCTGGTTCCTTAAGTGGGAAATGGTACTTAGAGACCATAATCTGAATACCAGGAGCGACTTGTTGCTACTTTCTTGGTCATTGTTTCTAGATATCTTCAATGGACAGGAAAAGAAAATAAATTATTTTCAAGGTGAAATACATTATGAGTTCATATTGTACTGCGAACTCAGGGTCAGGGCTACAGGGATTTTGCTTAATCTTCAATCTTATATCAGTATTTCCTTTTTCTTATGCGAAGAATTCCAGTTCTCAAAGACACCAAGATAGAATTAGATAGAATAGATAGATAGAATTAAAAGCAGCTAATTTCTCATTTTCTTTATCCCAGAGGCCCCAACTGTGGGCCATGGAACCTGGCCACGCAGCAGAAGGTGAGCAGTGTGAGCGAGGGAAGCTTCATCTGTGAAGCTTCACCCAGCACTAGCATCACCACCTCAGCTCCATCTCAGATCATCAGGCATTAGATTCTCATAGGAGCATGGGTCCCTGGTGCCAAAAAGGTAGGGGACCGTTGCAATATATACAAATTATGCTCACAGTAGTCTCAGGTAAAAATAACAACATTTTTGCCAACAATGTGATTGCTAAAAGCAGTTTAAATTTTTTTCCAATTGCTTTAGTTCATAGAATGTATCACATTAGAGAACCAAATTCCCCAGTTGCCAAAGACACCAAGATGATCATTTTTTTGTTTTATCCCACAATTCATATATAAAACTCTCAGAATAACAGTCAAAATGTTAGTGATATCAATAGGATTACTGAAAGCAGTTTAAGATTTTTTTTGCAGTTTTTTTGTCATAGATATATCCCAAAGAGATGCAATTTTAAAGTTATTTGAGTTAATTCTTTTTTATATGATTATACCACAAACTCAATACATAATTAGATTTATCTGTTTTGTTTCATTTTCTGTTTTTATGAATTGATTTTTTTATACTTAATTTTGCTTAATAACTATGTAAAATGTTTGGTTCTAAAGTCAAATCTGTGTAACAATTGTATTCAGAGAACCTCAGTTTCTATCCCTTTCTACTCCACGCTGTTCCCTCTCTGTCCCTATAAATAACTCTTTTTTCCTTGACTTAGCCTTCCATTTTTAAAATGTTTATCTTTTAGATAAACAACAGTATATATATATATACATTTTTTTACTTAACAATATATCCTGGAGATAATCTCATAATTAAATGAAGTTAATATTCTTCATTCCTTTTTATAGCTGCACATTAACCCATTGTCTTCATTTACTATAATTTATTTAATCAGTCCATTGTTGATTGGTATTACTGAGTTATTTTCAGTTCAATTTACATTATAAACAGTAGTTATAACTATTGTTTTTTTCCTGTGCAGCAGCAATAGTTATCAGACTGGCATCAGCATATCCCCTGGGACCCACATTCAATCCATTCTTCACACCACGTGGAGGTGATCTTTTCTGGTCTGGTTACATCACCCCACTCTTACTTGACCCCTTCAGAGGTTTTCCATTGTTTTTAAGGTAAAGATCAAACACCTTAGCATGGCCTACAACATCGCACAAAGTATAACCCCTGTTTATCTCCCCAGCTTTATCTAGCCCCCCACTCATCCTGACTTTTCAGCGTCAGCCACACCGACCTATATCAGGCCATGCTTCCCCTCAATGCAAGACTTTTTCCCTTATTCTTCCCCCTGCCAAGAGCATTTACTACTTAACCTCACCTAGTTAATGTCTACTTGTCTTGCAGGTAGCATCTCAGTTACTTCCTTAAGGGAAGCCCTCTCTTACCTTCCATGCCTGTCAGTAAACCTTTTCATATACACTTTTAGCTCTAAGCCCAAATTCTTTTTTATAGCACTTGTCATCATTGCAATTTTATATTTTTATATGTAATTATTAAAATTTATCTATCTTCACAACTAGACTCTCTTCTTTATTGAGACTAGAACCATGTCTATCCACCTACATCATACATACCCATCAACTCACCTGTGGATTCTTAGTGCCCAAGAGCATGTGCTCAATAAAAGTATCTCAGTGACTACATGAATTGCTTCTATAAGCCATGTTACTGTGCTAGGTGCTTTAAGTACATTGTTTAAGTGAATTCCCACAAACTTCCTGAAAAAAGGTGTTGTTATCATTTTGATGGCTTTAAGGTCTCTACATTTCTTTTTATTTATTTATTAGGGTAACATTGGTTGATACAATTATTTAATTTTCAAGTGTACATTATAATTTAACATCTGTATATATTCTATTGTGTGTTTACCACCCTAAGTCCAATTTCCTTCAGCTACCATATATTTGATCCCCTTTACTCTATCTACCCCCCACTTCTCCCCCACTCTCTACGCTCTGGTAACCATTGTCCATGTCTATGAGTCTCTCTTTGCTTGTCCTGTTCATTTGTTGCTTTTAGGTTTATATCTCACATGTAAGTGATATCATGTGATTTTCAACTTTTTCTATCTGGCTTACTTCGCTTAGCATGATTATCTCGAGGTCCATCCATGTTGTGGCAAATGGCAGTATTTCCTCTCTTATTATGGCTGACTAATATTCCATTGTATATATGTACCACAGCTTCTTTAGCCAATCATCTGTCGTAGGACACTTTAGTTGCTTCCATGTCCTGGCCACTATGAATAATGCTGCTATGAACATCAGTGAGCAAATATCTTTTTGGATATGGGTTTTCAAGTCTTTGGGGTAAATACCCAGTAGAGGGATTGCTGGGTCAGGTCTCTACATTTCTGATCTTGGTAATTTGTATTTTCTGTCTTGCTGCTGCTGTTGTTGTTTCAGACTTGCTAGGGTTTTATCAATTTTGATCATATTTACGAAAAATGACATTTGGCATTACTGTTCATTTTCTATTATGTGAGCGTATGTGTATTTTTTTAATTGATTCTGTTCTTATGTATAATATTTCACTCTTGATTTCTTTGGGTTTTATTTTACTTCCTATTTTAGCTCTTTTAGAGACTCAGGTAGTTGATTTTCAGTTTTTCCTCTTTTCTGATGTACATTTAAGGCTATACATTTCTCTCAAGGTCTTAGCTGCACCGTACACATCTTGATATGTTGAATTTCATTGTGATTTCTTCTTCTGCCATGAGTTATTATTGCTCTTTGACGGATGGAAAACTGACATGCAGAAAAGTTAAGACAGTTTGTTCCAAATCACAGAAAACCTGTGA